GTATCAGTGGAAAAGCTCACGAATACAGCGACCAAGTAAGTAAGGCAATTACTTCTCAATTGCTTGATATAATAAGCATTAAGAATTGCGACAACTGCTTGCTCCTTACAGTATTGCGATTCTTAATGTTCACAGCTGAGGATAGAAATGACGAGCGGAGGGAAGAAATCGTAAGTTCTCTTAGGCAGTGAGCTTTCTGCTGTGGTAGTAAGTTCTATTTCTCTTGTTGGTTGACTACCATCCGCTTCCCGAAAGAAACAAAGAAAAAGAAAAAATTTTTTAAAAGAAAAAAGGTCTTTGTAGATCAATTTTGATAAAATTCTTTATTTTCAAAGCAAATTTTAGCAATTCTGTCCTTGACTCCTACAAATCGTTCACATGAGATTTATAACATAACTGAAAACATCAGACATGAAAAAAGAAACAAAAGCAGCTTTTTCAAAGTTAATCATTCAGACAAGCAAGAGATGTCTTGTCGAGCCAAAACAACAAAAAGTGAGGAGAAGCCTAAAATAAGCTCCAACAAGGCTGGATTCAGTATTTTTCATCGATTTAGCACATCATATCTATCTTTCGATAGATCCATGTCTTGAGTCCTAAAAATTTTGAAGTGAACTTTGTCTAAATTACAGGAAGCAAAGAGCAAACATATCCAACAGCGTAAAGCGTTAGGTCACAAAAGTAATATATGTGATGAAACGATCCGGAAAATTTGCACAAAGCTTGGAACATCCGAGAATAAAAGAAAGAAACGAAATTTAAAATCTACGATGCTCTGAATGATGGATGTATTCGTGGAAATTTTTTCGTCGAACAGGTATCGGGAAATTGGCACTTACGAGATTAATTTTTGAATCGAAATAAAAAAATAAATTGAAAATCTCATTCTGATTACAAATCCTTCAGAACGCTTCATTCTTTTCGCCGCTATCAATGTGATTAACATGTTTTTTTCTTTCAATAAGTATTTTTTTCAAATAAGAGCAATCAAATAAGTATTACCTGCTCAGAACTTTTATCTAATTAATTCCTTCAATTAATTTTCATAACGCGACAGAAACGACAGAAAGATAAAGCTGTGGGAAATCTAAGCTGTGAAATATTTATTTCTTTGGGAATTATTTTCTTGCCAAATCATCTTCTTGACCTGCCAACTCGGTAACTGACCACTCATCCCACAATTCATAATGCTTAATAATGCGTACTATATGATGTTAAATTTAAACTAAAATCCGTAAATATGCAAATTTCAGCATCGGTTCGTCTTGGCATGGGCGACTTCATTTTCTATAGTTTGCTGGTAGATAAAGCCTCCGCGACACGTAGTACAATGTGCGTTGCTGACTCAATGGCTGGCTGGCTGGCTGGCATACTCACCCTGGCAGTACTGTCTAGCTACGATGAACCCACTACAGCACTGTCTGTTCCGATCGATTACCATCGCTGTACTGCTACATTCCGGCATTTATCTGTTCGTCGAACCATTCCATAATCGCATAGTGATGAGCACAAAATTATTTACCTCTAGACAAAACAGAACTATCTCCACCATATGACTTCTCCAGTTGCAGGCAAGTTCATCAGTTCATAAATTTGATACATGCCAAAGATCATAAGGGATCATCTTAGTGACAGCATATTTTGCATTAAAAAACAATACAATGGAATCAACGCTACATTATGAAAGAAATAACGAATAAATAAAAGAAAGTGAGAATGCAATCAACAATGCCAAATTTAAGAATAAACTTTAAAATCGAAGATGAAACGAAGGAGTCAAAAAGTAAACAATATAAACTAATTAAAAATGCAATACATTCTAGGTATAAATAAATGAAGCGACGAATACTATTATTATTATTACAAAAAATCTAACACTTTAAAAGTCAAAGAGTGAAGCAGTTGAATTAAATCCTTGCTGAACACCACCGGTGCTGAATTCATCAAAGTTGAAGTAATACAGCCAAGCATTATGCCGAAACAATTAAGTTGCAATTCAAAGCAGCATAACAGTTGAAAAAATCCACTATTCCTAGGAAGTTCAATCTGTATTAATATTAGATTTAAGACTGAATGTTTCGTAAAATGTGAACCGAGGGAAGTTAGGCAATGAATCATTAAATTTCATCTTATAAATGTTTCGTATAATACCAATTGATTCAGATAATGAAACTTAACTATTACATACTTCTCTCAAAACTTTACTTCGCCGAAATAACTATTTATTACAAGTACCGATTATCCTCCAACTTAAAATTACTATTTTACATGTTTTTTGAAAAAAGCTTTGAGAAAAAAAATCCGAAAAGATTATGCTTCAAAGTGCTAAGGAAAACGAAGAGCAAATAATTTAACCTATTGTGAAAAGTTTTCTAGAAAATTCCAAGAGAAGGAATATCGATTGCCAAAAACCAATCGATTGGTAACCAAAACTGCATGAGATCCAAGCAAAAAAAAAGAAATAAAATAAATAAATAAAAACAAAAAGACACAAAAAAGAAACAAAAGAATGATTGATGATGATTTCGATAAGAATGAGACGTTGGTCATGGTCGTTTAATAGAAATACATGTAGAAATAACATCAACATAGTTCACAGTAATATTTTTGTTTCCGAAATTGTACTTTCCTTTGTGTTATTCAAGTAAATGAGATTAAAGGTTGTCTTTATTTTAGTTCGAAGAAGTTTCGGTAGAATTTATACTTTCTAACTTAACTGCTCACGTCCGCTTACGCCGTCAATTCTGCTTTCCGATCAGTCTAATCATAGAGAGGATTACAGTTTTCATAACATTTAAAAGAAGGAAATTCGCAAATGGTACGTGAACCGTGAACCATGAAACGCTATGGACGTAGCTAACAAATCATATTTGAAATTTTGAACAAAATTAGATATGAAGGGACGGGGAAATGGAACGAAGTGGGAAATAAAAGTGCTAATAAAATGAGTTAGGTGATTCATCGAGGTAAAAATAATAAAGATTAACTGAAATTCATTTGATAGATTGAGATAGACAATTGAAATTCAGATAGAAATAGTGGAAACTGTTCCTTTGTTTCTTTGATATTTCACGTATATTTGATTTGACTGTGAAACGTTTTATCGTTTCTTTCTGTTTCTATAAACAATTATTTCTCTGTTATTAATCTTTATTTTCTTTTCGTTGTAATCATCTCCGAAATTTAGGAATTTTAATTTGAGTAACTGATGCACTATCCTAATCTTTACTATAGTTATAGGAAGTTGCCAATGTTAATTTTACTGTAATCTTTCAGCGATTCATCACCGTAATTGCTATTCCTGCAATAGCTGCAACTGTTTTCAAAGTCCAATAGTCAGGGTTAGAGGCATGACTAATGCTAGCAACAGAACTAAATCTGCTAACAATTTCGTCTTATCAGTGCCACTTACTCTGTCTGCAAGTACTGCACATGAGAGTGAAAAATCTATATCTAGTAAAAATACCGTAATGACAGCTTAGTCTTAAACATTTTTTACTTCTGATAAAATAAAAAACCAACCATACTTTTGGATCCTCCCCGACTTCTTTTAATATAACAGTATGACACTCTCTGCACGTCCGTAATGTGTTGACTATATCATCTAAACCTTTTAAGTCTATTCTCGCCACCACAGCATTAATCCCTTGTTTGACCAAGGGAAAATCTAGTACTTGGATCTGTGTGCTTGATTAGTATGTACTCGCGTTCAGTCAACATGAAAACGTTCCTGTAGACACTAGTAGCTTTTAGATTTGACAAAAAAATCAGTGTTGATGTTTGCTGTACATTTATATTGTTTGCTGTAATCTACAAAATAAATTCCAGCAATATCAAAAACTAATTTTAATTAAATGTTAAATTATTGAAAAAAATCAATTCATTAAAAAAATGGATATTTTGCACTTAATTGAATAATTTATAAGCGTTCCATAGTACTGGTCATTTAGGGTGTGGTCATTTGACCAGCATTAATAATAAAATAAACTTTAATAATTAAGTTTTAATTGATATTTGATAGGCAAAATTAATTAAGTTTTTAATTTGTGACGGTTTTAATTCCTTCTTACAAATCAAATCAATTTTTATTTCAAATTTAGATATCAAATTTTATGAAAAGTCAATAATTTATTAGAATTTTGCATATTAATCTACAAAATAAATTGTAGTAAATATCAAAAGCTAGTTTTAAATAAATGTTAAAATTTTGAAAAATATCAATTAATTAAAAAAAAAATAATGGATATTTTGAACTTAATTGATTAATTTGTGTGCATTGCATAGGTATTGGTCGCATACATTGTGGTCATTTGACCAGCAAAAATAAAAAAATCAAGTTTAGAAATTAAGTTCTGAATGATATTTTAGAAGCAAAATTAATTAATTTTTTAATTAATGGCGGTTTTAATTCACTCTTACAATTAGAATTAATTTTTATTTCTAATTTAAGTATCAAAATTTAGGAAATTTGTACAATTTTTAAAAGCTTTTGCATATTAAAATGCGAAATGAATACATGTATTGTCAAAATTTATTTTAATTAAATGTTAAAATATTTATAAATATCAATTCTTTAAAAAAAAAAAAATGGATATTTTGAACTTAATTGATTAATTTGTGTGCATTGCATAGGTACTGGTCGCATACATTGTGGTCATTTGAGCAGCAAAAATAATAAAATCAAGTTTAGAAATTAAGTTTTAATCGATATTTGAATAGCAAAACTAATTAAATTTTTAATTTTTGACGGTTTTAATTCATTCTTACAATTGAAGTTTATTTTTATTTCAAATTTAAGTGTCAAATTTTATGAAAATTCATTAATTTATTAGAATTTTGCATATTAATCTACAAAATAAATAGTAGTAAATATCAAAAACTAGTTTTAAATAAATGTTAAAATATTGAAAAATATCAATACATTAAAAAAAATGGTTATTTTGAGCATAATTGATTAGTTATTATTCATTTCATGGATACTGGTTACATACATTGTGGTCATTTGAGCAGCAAAAATAATAAAATCAAGTTTAGAAATTGAGTTCTGAATGATATTTTAGGAGCAAAATTAATTAAACTTTTAATTTGCCACTGTTCTAATTAATTCTTACAATTGAAATTAATTTTTATTTCAAATTTAAATATCACATTTTTTGAAAATTCAATAATTTGTCAGAGTTTTGTATATTAAACTATAAAATAAATTCTAGCAATATCAAAAACTCATTTTATTTAAATGTTAAAATATTAAAAAAAAATCAAATCATTAAAAAAATTAGATAATTTGAACTTGATTGATTAATTTATAAGCGTTGCATGGGTACTGGTCATTTATGGTGTGGTCAATTGGCAACATAAATAATAAAATAAACTTTAGAAATTAAGTTTTAATCAATATTTTATTAGCAAAATTAATTAAATTTTTAATTAATGACGGCTTTAATTCATTCTTACAGTTAGAATTAATTTTTATTTCTATTTTAAGTATCAAAATATAGGAAATTTGTACAATTTTGCGAAATGAATACATGTATTGTCAGATATTATTTTAATTAAATGTTAAAATATTTATAAATATCAATTCTTAAAAAAAAAAAAAAAAAAAAAAAAAAAAAAAAAAAAAAAAAATGGATATTTTGAACTAAATTGATTAATTTGTGTGCATTGCATAGGTACTGGTCACATACATCGTGGTCATTTGATCAGCATAAATAATTATATAAACTTTAAGAATTGAGTTTTGATTAAAATTTCACTCGCGAAAATAATAAAATTTTTAATTAGTCATAGATCTAATTCATTTTTACAATTAATGCTAATTTTTAATTTAAATTTAAAATTGATTTTTATGAAAATCCTATAATTTGTAAGAATTTTTGCATAATAAACTGGAAAATAAACCCTACTATTATCAAATTTAATCTTAATTAAATGTTAAAAAATTAAGAAATATCAAAACATTAAAAAAATAGATATTTTGAACTTAATTAATTTATAAGCGTTGAATAGTACTGGTCACATACATCGCGGTCATTTGACATTTTAAATAATAAAAAAATGCTTAGGCTTAGGCTTAGGGTGTACTTAGGCTTAGGCTTAAGCATTATTTCAAATCTAAAAATTGATTTTGGTGAAAATTTTATAATTTCCAAGAGTTTTTGTATATTAAACGGGGAAATAATTTCTAGTCCTATCAATTTTGATTTTAATTAAAATGTTAAAACTATTAAAAAAATTAGTTATTTTGAAGTGAATTGATTAAATTTATGCATTGCATGGGTAACGTCAGTTACGGTGTGGTCAATTGACAACATAAATAAGAAAATATACTTCAATAACTAAGCTTTTTTTAATATTTGAGAAACAAAATTAATAAGATTTTTAATTTGTCGTAGATTTAATTCATTTCTGCAGCTAAAATTAATTTCTGTTTGAAATCTTAAGATAGAATTTTATGAAAGTTTTATGATTTGTAATGAATCAAAACCTTTTTTGTATAATAGACTACGAAATAATTTCTAGTAATATCAAATTTTACTTTAATTAAATGTTAAAACTGTTAAAAAAATATATATTCATTAAAAAAAGTTAGATATTTCGAGCTTAATTGATTAATTTATATGCATTGCATGGATACTGGTCACACACACCATGGTCATTTGACCAACATAAATAATAAAATAAACTTTAAGAATTGAGTTTTAATCAATTTTTTACTAGCAAAATTAATTAAATTTTTAATTAATGAGGTTTTAATTCATTCTTACAATTGAAATTAACTTTTATTTGGAATTTAAATACCAAATTTAATGAAAATTCATTAACTTATTAGAATTTTGCATATTAATCTATAAAATAAATTCTAGTAATATCAAAAATTAATGTTAATCAAAAACTAATTTTAATTCTTTAATATTTTAACATTTTTTCTTTCAAATTATAGGATTTTCGCAAAAATCAATTTTAGATTTGAATTAATAATTAGCATTAATTGTAAAAATGAATTACATCTACGATTAATTAAAAATTTTATTATTTTCACGAGTGAAATTTTAATTCAAAACTCAATTCTTAAAGTTTATTTAAATAATTATGCTGATCAAATGAACACAATGTATGTGACCAGTACCTGTGCAATGCAAACAAATTAATCAATTAAGTTCAAAATATCTATTTTTTTTTTCAATGAATTTATAATTTTTAACAGTTTTAACATTTTAGTTAAAATCAAAATTGATAAAACTAGAAATTATTTCCCCGTTTAATATACAAAAACTCTTGGAAATTATAAAATTTTCACCAAAATCAATTTTTAGATTTGAAATGCTTAAGCCTAAGCCTAAATACACCCTAAGCCTAAGCCTAAGCATTTTTTTATTATTTAAAATGTCAAATGACCGCTATGTATGTGACCAGTACCATTCAACGCTTATAAATTAATTAAGTTCAAAATATCTATTTTTTAATGTTTTGATATTTCTTAATTTTTCAACATTTAATTAAGATTAAATTTGATAATAGTAGGGTTTATTTTCCAGTTTATTATGCAAAAATTCTTACAAATTATAGGATTTTCATAAAAATCAATTTTAAATTTAAATTAAAAATTAGCATTAATTGTAAAAATGAATTACATCTATGACTAATTAAAAATTTTATTATTTTCACGAGTGAAATTTTAATTCAAAACTCAATTCTTAAAGTTTATTTAATTATTTATGCTGATCAAATGACCACAATGTATGTGACCAGTACCTGTGCAATGCACACAAATTAATCAATTTAGTTCAAAATATCCATTTTTTTTTTTTTTTTTTTTAAGAATTGATATTTATAAATATTTTAACATTTAATTAAAATAATATCTGACAATACATGTATTCATTTCGCAAAATTGTACAAATTTCCTATATTTTGATACTTAAAATAGAAATAAAAATTAATTCTAACTGTAAGAATGAATTAAAGCCGTCATTAATTAAAAATTTAATTAATTTTGCTAATAAAAAATTGATTAAAGCTTAATTATTAAAGTTTATTTTATTATTTATGTTGCCAATTGACCACACCATAAATGACCAGTACCCATGCAACGCTTATAAATTAGTCAATTAAGCTCAAAATTTTCTTTACGAATTGATATTTTTTAATAGTTTTAACATTTTAATTAAATTGAAATTTGACAACACCGGCATTTATTTCATAGTTTATTATGCAAAAACTTTTACAAATTGCACAATTTTCTTAAATTATGGTATTTAAATTTGGAAAATAAATTAATTACAATTGTAAGAATGAAATAAAACAGTGACAAACAAAGAATTTAATTAATTTTGCTAATAAAATATTGATTAAAAGTTATTTTTTTAAAGTTTTTTTTAATATTTTATGCTGACCAATTGACCACACCGTGATTAACCAGTACCTATGCAACGCTTATAAATTAATCAATTAAGTTCAAATTATCTAATTTTTTAAATGATTCGATTTTTTTTAATATTTCAACATTTAATTAAAATGATTCTTTGATATTGCTAGAATTTATTTTATAGTTTAATATACAAAATCCTAACAAATTATTGAATTTTCATAAAATTTGAAATAAGAATTGATTTCAATTGTAAGAATGAATCAAAACCGTGATAAATTAAAAATTTTAGTTAATTTTGCCTATCAAATATTAATTAAAACTTAATTTTTAAAGTTTATTTTATTATTAATGTTTGTCAAATGACCACACCGTAAATAACTAGTACTATGGAACGCTTATAAATTAATCAGTTAAGCTCAAATTATCTATTTTTTTTTTTTAAACAATTGATATTTATAATATTTTAACATTTAATTAAAATAAATTTTGACAACACAGGGATTCATTTTACTTTTTAATATACAAAACTCTAATAAATCATTAAATTTTCAGAGAATTTGATATTTAAATTTGAAATAAAAATTAATTTGAATTGTAAGGATGAATTAAAACCGTGATAAATTAAAAATTTAATCAATTTCGCTAGTCGAATATTGATTGAAACTTAATTTTTAAAGTTTATTTAGTTATTTATGCTGATCAAATGAGCAACCGTAGATGACCAGTACCTGTGCAATGCATACAAATTAATCAATTAAGCTCAAAATATCTAAATGAATAATATATTTTTTAACAGTTTTAACATTTAATTAAAGTAAAATTTGATATTACTAGAAATTATAGAAAAAAGTCTAATATACAAAAAAGGTTTTGATTCATTGCAAATCATAAAACTTTCATAAAATTCTATCTTAAGCTTTCAAACAAAAATTAATTTTAGCTGCAGAAATGAATTAAATCTACGACAAATTAAAAATTTTATTAATTTTGCTTCTCAAATATTAAAAAAAGCTTAGTTATTGAAATTTATGTTGTCAATTGACCACACCGTAACTGACCGTTATCCATGCAATGCATAAATTTAATCAATTGACTTCAAAATAACTATTTTTTTTTAATGAATTGATATTTCTTAATAGTTTTAACATTTAATTAAAATCAAAATTGATAAAACTAGAAATTATTTCCTCGTTTAATATACAAAAACTCTTGGAAATTAAAAAAATTTTCACCATAATCAATTTTTAGATTTGAAATAATGCTTAAGCCTAAGCCTAAGCATTTTTTTATTATTTAAGATGTCAAATGACCGCGATGTATGTGACCAGTACTATTCAACGCTTATAAATTAATTAAGTTCAAAATATCTATTTTTTTAATGATTTGATATTTTTTAATATTTTAACATTTAATTAAATTGAAAATTGACACTGCCATTTATTATTTATTTGATAATTCCATTTTTCGATTATTCAATGTACATAAACTTTTAAAAATTGTGCGACTTTCATAAAAATCAGTATTTAAATCTGAAATAAAAATTAATTTTAATTGCAAGAATGAATTAGATCTATGACTAACTAATAATTTTATTATTTTCACAACTGAAATTTTACTCAAAACTTGATTATTAAAGTTTGTTTAATTATTTGTGCTATTCAAATGACCAACCGTATATGACCAGTACTATGCAACTCTTATAAATTAATCAATTAAGTTCAAAATGCCTATTTTTTAATGAATTGATTTTTGTCATTATTTTAATTTTTAATTAAAATAAATTTTTGACATTACTGAAATTTATTTTACAGTTTAATGTATAAAACTGCAATAAATTATTGAATTTTCATAAAATTTGATAATTAAGTTTGAAATAAAAATTAATTTTAATTATAAGAATGTAATAAAACAGTGACAAATAAAGAATTTAATTAATTTAGGTAATAAAATATTGATTAAAACCTAGTTTTTGATGATTATTTTATTATTTATGCTGATCAAATGACCAACGGTAAATGAACAGTACCTATGCAATGCATAAAAATTAATCAATTAAGTTCAGAATGTCAATGTTTTTTTAATGAACTGATATTTTTCAATACTTTAACACTTAATTAAAATGAAATTTGACGGGATTTATTTCATAGTTTAATATACAAAAACTTTCAAAAATTTTACAATTTTCATAGAATTTGATATTTTAATTTTTCACTGTGTTAGCTTCCAAGGATTCATATTCGTTTATTTTTTCTCCCACTGGCTTTTTCTATCTTGCACTAGCCCATGGTAAATTCCAGAATTATCGTTTATAAATATTGTCTGTCTTTGTAATCTTATTGTAATAACTTTTTCTGTGCTTTACACTATTCTGTGCTGGTGTAGCGCGGATTTTTACATTTCCTAATATTAGAAATTTCAATGTAAATGCGCTTACTATTTCGTTCTTTTGTTTCTTGTTCTGCAGCAAAACCTATTTCAGCATATTATTATGACAAATTAATTGAATCATCCTGTGTTTTTGTATTTTTCTGTGCTAGAATAATCACTGTCAAGTGAACTACTATCTGTTCTATAATGAAAGAATTCCTTATAAAAATGTTCACCATTTTGTTCCTTTTAATTTCTTTTTTTTTGCATCCAGATTCACCGGGACATATACATGTGACAGATAAATCGACCGACTTTCTCGAAGCTCTTTTATGCCAGAGTAACATTATCTCAAAAACCATCTCTTTTCTTATAAATGTGTTTATTATATGCAAATTGTGTTTCAGCATTCTGTGAAGGCATTTCTTCATAAGTGTGATTCAGTTGCAAAGAATGCCTTGTACTCTCCTTTATCATTGGGGCATGCTTTCTTTTAATATTCATACTGCCGGTATTGCAATATTCAGAGCCTCTTATCAACAAAAATTGTACTATAAGATGAGATTCATGAAGAGTGATAGATGATAATAACAGATTATCGTCAATAAGATTATGTGTTTTAGTATAAACAAGGAGGGTTATTTCTTTATAGTAGTTTCTTTTATAGTGACGTGAAGCAGTGGAGTTAGAAGGTTTATCGATTTTCAATTTCACCCAGAGTTCCAATCAATCTAAACCTCATCCTCTCTTTGTATCATTCATTAAGGTAGTAGTTAATAAAGTTAAGAAAACAGAAGCAGAAAACAAAGGAAAGTGTTTAAGTGTCAATATATATGTGTCAATATATGACACTTAAACACTTTCCTTTGCTGTTAAGTAAGCTAAGCTTGATGAGATTCCCCCAGGAGCACTGCTAGTTAGTAGAGACAATACCATCATTTCTTTCGCACATAATATATCCAACAATCCAACTGCACATGCACAGAAAGATATTAGTGATGAGACAGAATGCAAATTGTATGTGAATCATCAGTAGACTGTAGTGCTAACTGACATGTGCACACATGGCCCATATGAAGAACAGGAAATAGAAAAGCGTTTCAATGAGTTGAGGAAGTACGTCTGGCGCCGTATTGACCCAGCACGTCGTCTTGGGGTCCTGCGTGGTCGTGCGCCTGGCTTTGGACGCCGTGCTGGCTATGCAGTCGTGGTTACGGTGCACCAAGCGCTGGTTCCCCACAGACAATTCGCCATTAATCCAGCCGTTTAGGAGAAGAATTTGGCTTTGAGTTATCAGAAAACTTATGGTGTTTTAAAAGTGCTGATTTCTTTCTGCGTCACTATTGTACTGTTTGTACACATAATAATAATTGATAGCTATTTCCAATGACGCTTTTCTTTTCACGGTTTTTTATTTGTTTTTCCTTTCCTCACCCCGTTGATTTTTGCACCGCTTTGTCGGCGATTTATTCTTCTTTCATCCACAACAATTTTTTTTGTTAGACACATGTGCGCACGTAACATTAGAGATATGTGCGCACGTAACATTAGAGACATGTCCGATGTGTGCTCAAGCTATTTCCTTTAAGGGTTAGACGATTGTACTCTAGAGCCTATAATTCAAAAGGTGGAGAAATTGAAAATGGTGCTAAAATATTTCAGTTTTGCAACCACATACCTGAAGTTTATGACGGGGTATCAGAAATTGAGTGCGCTTTTTTGTTTTTTTCTCAAAACAATTTTTTTTGAAAAACTGAGGGACTCTACCAATTATTATTAGGTTCCTTGTATAACCGTACACTTGATAGCATTCTGTCATTCTGTCCGCGTCCCGCGTTGGGTTAACTGATGAGCGTCTTCTAATCCTGCAATATTTTCATTTTCACTGATGGAAAGACCAGTAAACTTGACAATAGTATTGGTGTCAACACTATCAGCCAGCCTTTGTCTTTGCCACTTCAATTTTTCCTTCTTCCATACCTTGCAAGTTTCTTTTCAAGGATAGCTTCCTCTCTGTACAGATTCATTATTCTTTCTTCATACGCTGTTAGGTACTTTTCATCCCAATGAAACTTGTTTAACTCATCATATGCTTAATTTATGATTAATACTTCTCCTGCTATCTTTTTTGAGTTTTTATCTGTTATTTCTTCTGCATACTTAAAGAAAGAAACACCAGCGTTCTACTATGCTTGTTAATTAGTCTACTTTACTTTTAGGAAATTTAGATAGTTCAATGAACACGAATTGAAAATCTTGTAAATCATGCTCACTAGTTTCATCGTCTCTTATGGTATAGCTAGATATATAATTGACTCACTCATCGGGAAATAAAGTGCAGTTTGATATTATAATAAAGAAAATCTTTTGTAAATCCACCAGATAGCCTTGAGAAGCTTTGGCAGTGTAATACTGAGCACATTTTTCAAAGTCCTTGTCACGAGTAAGCTCCATTTCAACCACAAACTTATTACCAACAGAATCGTTGAGAGAACATCAACCATGCTTTGTTTCTCAGAAGCAAATTCAGAATTCATAATGACGCTGATGAATTCTATTTTTTGCATAGTATTAAATTCAGTATACCCTAAAACTTCGCTCAAAAATGGGTAAGAATATTCTTACTTCTTTCGTGCCAAAGATCTTTTTGAAAGTCAGGTCCAGTTTTGGTAAGGAATTTAGAAAAAGCCATAAGAAATTAACTTAATAGTAATACACTATTTTTTGCAAATATTCAACTATATTTTTTAACTTATAATTTTAAGCTTCCTTATAACATTTAAAGTGTAGATGCAAAATATAATTCATCGAAATTTCGAAAAAAGTATAGATAATTGGCTTGAGACGCATTTAACAGCCTTACATTACCATTTTATAGCTCTATAGATCTTAGAAACTCTCTTACAAAATTGCCCCCCAGTAGATGCCAATTTTCTACTGTCCTCTCTTGCACAGTATAAAAACAGCATTTCTTCTGATGCTTTGCTACCTTAATGTATAATATCAAGCTGTGTTACGACTAAAAGCTGTACAACTTGATAAACCTTGCCAATCCTTTATCATGAGATTGAAGTTGTTTATTTATTCTCAATCTGTACAGATTAAGCGTATAACAGGGATGGCTTCGTATTTTTTACCTTTTGCATTATTTACACCTCATGCCTTTATAAATCTTACCTAGATTTCAGATTTTTACCTCTACAAATCGAAACGCAGCGGCAATTTACAGGATTAGAGAGTGAACAATTTCTATATGGAGTTCTTTTGCCTTTAATCTGCTGCTAATTTTGGATATCTCATAAACATAGGGGTAACGTAGAACATTGTTCTAACCACTTAGCATAACTTTGCCACTGCTTAGCTACGGCGGCTCCTCTTTTTTATCTTCGAGCATTGCACTTGGCATAATGCTGTCCTTAGTAGAAATCAGACTATCATATTAAATCTTCGTGAGCGTAATTCTTTTAAAAGACACGCTATAGACTAGTTCCTTTATACTATGCCTTTCCTCTTTCTCCTGAAGTCAAAATCCATAACTTAACTTTAGAAACTTCAAAATAAGATGCGATCTAATACCAGGCAATTATTTCATTACATAAAACCTAATCTGCATTATTTCATCACTTATATCTTCAGCTTTAACGATTCTCCTTGTTGGCAGAGGCTTGAGTAACATAATCCATTATGGTGCAGAGCACAACTTCACCGCTAAGCTATTAGTTACTATATTCATAGTTTTAGCCATTTCTCTCAGTGCATTTATTAGATTGTATTTCATTGGGATTGGCAGTGAGAAAGTTATTGCAAAAATAGATGTGACTTATATGGTAATATTACTGATTTGCAACCAAGTTTCTTTGAGAATACAAGTGTTCAAGATGTCATCTCAGCTCAGCACTGTTACTGGTACCTCTGGGCTGCTGCTACTGTAATCAATAATACCAATGCTACCTACTTATTGTCATGACGTCACTTGGGAAGAAAGTGCGCAATTGTGCATGTTTTGCCCAGAATAAGCTAAGTGAGCTTGCATCACTCTTTGACGCTCCAGCTCTTGCCTCTCTTGCTGCTCTTGCAATTACCGAGCGCTGCGCCTGTTGCAGTGCCATTACCCATCCCTGCCACATGCTCCTCCATCGATGACTCTCCTGCTGCACCCTTGCCGACATCTCCTACCTCTGAAGGGCAACGCTCTACCCAGCTGAATATTGCTTGTGCAAAACGTGTACAGTCTTTTTTGCAAGCTGTGTTTATTGAATATGGAGAAAATAAGCAATTTTTTGTCTTTTTCTGAAATATCCAAATTATTTCAATATTCCAGAAAAGGAGAAAGGAACTTTCTTTGAGGGTTGCTTGAATGATGATTGTGCAGAGGAAGGAGTGAATCAAAGGTAATATAATAACTCCAAAATCGATACTTGATACATACGGTGCAGATGTAGTGTGTTATTGGACAGCAGACTGAAAGCTTGGAGTTTATACAGTCAACTCTGAAAACATATCAAAATTGGCAAGTGCCTCGTTACAAAACTTTTCAATGCCAGCAAGTTTATTTCTAATTCATGGAAAGGTATCCAGCTGAGACATGGATCAATAGATACTGTCTAAACTATATAAAGTTATAGCAACGAATAACTTATTACAATTTGAATACTGTGAAGCTTTGGGTGCAGTAGAAGGATTTTTTTGGAAAGACTTTTGTGACAATCACTTGGAATTAGCAACAAACAACAAGTGAATATGGAGATAAAGTAAGCAGCGAGGCAAAGTTTGACATATGTGTTGAATACTACTTTGCGGTTATTTGCTTTGCACCTTCTCTGCCATACATTACTGAACAAATATATCACCAACTATAGCTGTAATTCTGTGCACAGTCGAATTGGCCGAATAAGGAAGGAGGAGCTTATCTGTGATAAGCATTCTGAAGAAATGGGAGATATTCATGTAGATAGATATTAAACCACGTGAGGAAAATAAAAGCAAATGTAAAAGAGGATAAGTTGAATCAGTCGGCGCAGAATGATTTACAGACAGTCCGCAATGCTGAAATGATAGAATGGAGTGAAAACGCACAAGAGGACTTATAACTGATAATGGGAAGTTTATTGTTGGTAGGATTTCCTCATGTAACGACATCATGTGGTCGATTTGAGGGTATGGGTGAGTATACTCCTCATACTGTTTCAGGAGGTGAACCAGCAGCGATGGTAGTTGTTGATGTGTGCGTTAGACTTCTTCCTGGTGTGGTAAATAATTCCGGTAGTATTCATTTGTTTCTGCATTAGAATGATTTTCATTACTATTCTTGCTAGCATCTGAAGTTATTGATTTCATAATTATTTGTTCTATTTTTATTTTTTCTACTAGGTTTAGTTCTTTTGATTTTATTATTTCTCTTTTCAACGTTGGAAGACTTATAGACATACCTGCCTTAAGTGAATTTTTCGGTACTGCTATTTTAGCTTTCTTCACTCTACCCTTCTATGCTCCAACTTTGATGCCTCTCTCTTTGCTAGTTTTGACACATTCTCCTCTATCTTTTTTAGTAGCTGTATTCAAGGATGGCTTTGTTTTTCTGTAAATTCATTAGATTCCTCTTTCTTCATACGCTATTTTATCTTCTTCATTCCAACGGAACTCATCTAACCCATCGTATGCTAGCTTTTACATCTGTTTCAGTGGTATCCTCTGCATTCTTAAAAAAGAAGCGTCAATGCTCTACTATATTTATTAATTGCTCTACTTTACTCCTAGACAATTTAGGTAGTTCAATAAAAATAAATTGAAAATCTTTCAAGTAATAGCCATTGGTTTTTGTATCATGTATATTATTAGTAGATACACAATCAACCTTTTTAGAGAGTAAGTTACAATTGGAAATTACAATAAAGAAAACTTTCTTTAAATCAATGTCTAATTGAGCAAGCCTTAACCGATTTATCTAATTGCCTTAGTAAGCCTTAGCAGCACAAAGTTGAACACGTTTCTTAAAGTCTTTGTTTATAGCGAGCTACACTTCAATTATACACCTGGTTCCAGTGGCATCCTTGCGAAAACATCAACTATGCTTTGTTTGTCAGAGGTAATTTCAGGATCGATTATAGCGCTTAAGAATTCTACCGCTTGTATAGCATTTATTTCAGTGAATCCTAAAATATCATTGAGAAAGCGAATAAGAATCTTCTTATTCTTTTCAGTGCCAAAGATTTTCTTAAATATTAGGTCAAATTTCAGATCAGGAAATTTTGATAAAGCCATGATACAATA